TGGACTTCTGGCCTCCAGGACAGTGAGAGAATGCATTTCTCTTGTTGAAGTCACCGGGTTTGTGGTGTTTTGTGATGGCCGCTGGACTAACACAGAGGGTGTTCCAGGTCTCGGGGAGATTGAGGAACTGGAAGAGGCACAGATGGATGAAGGAGGGGGCGAGGAGGAAGTGATGAGGTTGGAGTGGTGAGCTGTGGCTACTCTCCCCGGGACCTCAAAAGTCATGGTGAGCAGCTAGGACTTGATTCAAAGTGCAGCAAGAAGTCACTGGAGGTTTTAAGCAGCAAAGGGTCACGAGCCAGTTAGTGTTTTCAAATAACTCCTTGGGCACTGCGTGGAGGCCAGCCTGGAGCACAATGGTGTCTGCGTTCCCCGTTGCTTAGATGGCAGGGCAGGTGTTCCCTAGGGGAGTGTTGAGGGGGGCAGGAGAGAGCAAAAAGGGGGAGCTAGGTAGCAGTAAGTGTCAGGTAGCTGGGCTAGACCGCCCGAGCTCTCTTTAGCTGCTGGGCCCAGGTCTTGTCAGGTCACTCAGAGTCCTCAGGCACCTGGCCAGGCACTAGGCAGACAGCTCTGTGCCCCACCCTCCCTGGCTCTGGTTTCCCACTGCCTCCTCCCACCAGAACAGCTTGTATGGGCCAAGGAAACTGGGCATTTCTGCTCTTGTCTGCCTCTGGCTCCACTCCCGAATAGTAGGCGGGGGATGCCCCCTTCTCAGACACTTGAGTAGGGAGGAGCGGGTCCCTGCAGACCTAGCACCAGAGGGGCAGGTGGCCAGACGGCCCTCGGGGCTGTTTTAGAGCCTGGGGCCCTGAACCATCAGGTTAGAGAACTGGGCTATCGCCAGGTCACTGGGGTGACAGGCGAGGCTCCGGGGCTGCCTCGGGCAGGAAGAAAAGCTGGTCTCCCTCGACTCTAGCCCTCTGCACTCCAGAGCCCTCCTGCCTCTGGCCTTTGGGGCTGGACCAGGAATATCTAGGGAATTCAAACCGAGACGGGAACTGGGAGATGAAGTAGCCCTGTGTGGACAGGGAAGCTGAGCCCCTCAGGAGGGGCCCGTACGGCGAGCCAGTAGCAGCGTTCTCCGTTTGTCGTTCTCTGCTTCCTGCCCACTTTTTGGGTCCACATGCTGGCAGCAGTGGGCACTGAACTCCCTTAAAAATTTCCAGAAAAAGTTATCTGAGAAAGATGTCATTTGGGCACTGTAGGAATAGTCAGCAAGAGATTGGTTACGTGATGATGGGATGGCAACGTGACGAAATACTAGGCGGTCGTTAAAAAGATCAAGGCCAACGGTTCTGTACAGCAGTGAAGCAGTGCCAGGGAGGTGCAGGACTGTATGTGTGTGTGTGTGTGTGTGTGTGTGTGTTTGTTGTGCAATCACATGTTATGCAGGCTGGCACAAGAAAATGGTAACAACGTTTGCCTCTGGACAGGGGCTAGGGTCAGATGGTGCATGGGAGACTTGTTCTTTTCTCTATTCTCTTAATGGCCAAGGAAAAATTCTCACTGCTAGCCTGCTACTCTCTGCCCCTAATGAACCTCAGGATCCAAGGTCTCAGTGACAGCAGGTTGGGGGCCTCTCCCCAGCCTCCCCCAGCGCCCGTAGCCTCCCTCTGCCTGACTCAGCTGAGCCAAGTCAGGCTTGTCTGGAGGGACGGATGTGAGAGCAATCATTGACACAGTCCCTGCCTCTGAGGCTGGCTGGGGAACGTTTTGACTCGGAGATGTTGAGCAAGCCAGGGGCCCTCGGCCGTTGGGAGGTTAGGTCCGTTTTTCACACTGGGCTCACCCTGGCAGACCTGCTGGGCTGGCAAAGAGCAGGCGCTCCTGACCACTTCCTGGGCTGGAATCCTTGGGGATGCAAATTGGAGTGAGAATCACAGAAGGTCAAAGCTGGAAGGGCCCTTGATAATTAACACTAATGATAATCACCATAGCACGGACCGTTTTGAGCACGTATACCAGGCACAGTCTCTTGGGATCCTCATGATATTTCTCTGAGAGGATTATTTCCCCATTTCCAGATGAGTCTCAAACACTCAAAAATTAAACCCATTGCTGTCCTTATAGGTCAGAGTAGAACTGCTCCATAGGGTTTCCAAGGCTATAATCTTTACGGGAGCAGACTGCCACATCTTTCTCTTACAGAGCAGCTGGTGGGTTCAAACCGCTGACCTTTGGGTTAGCAGCGAAGTGTTTAACCACTGCGCCACAAGGGCTTCTTAGATGAGTCTCAGGAGGGTTAAATAACTAGATGTGCTCCTCTGCTAACAACCCTGCCTGGTTCCCCATTACCTGGTCTGCTCCGGCTCACCTTGACCACTGTGCCCTTCACTCTTTCCACTCCGGCCCCACCACCTTTTTTCAGTGAGTTCTACCACTTAACAGCTGTGTGACCTTGGACAAGTTACTTAACATTTCTGGACCTCAGTTTCCTCTGTAAAAGGGAGACAATCCATACTTCTTACTTCGTAGACCATTGTGAGTTGCTGTCGAATTGGCTCTGACTCATGGCAATCCCACGTATAATAGAATAAAACATGGCCCGGTCCTGCACTGTCTTCATGGCCTTTGATATGTATGAGACTATTGTTGTGGCTACCCTGTCAATCCATGTCATGGAGGTTTCCCTTGTTTTTGCTGACCCTCTGCTTTTCCAAACATGACGTCCTTTCCTAATGATTGGTCTTAGACTCATCCAGAATAAATAAGTTAATAACTATAAAGTACTTATAATCACATCTGACTCATAGTAAGCCTGTGTTTGCTATTATTGTTATTATTTTTATTACCCTATGTTTCATCAAATCTAAGATGTCATCGATTGTAAAAGATGCCTCTAAGGGAAAAAGAATGCTGCCAGGTAGCTATGCCCCACAGCTCTTTCTTCACTAGGCTTTTTATTTCATGTTTCTGGAAAGAGCTCTTTTGGCTTAGACATGGATTTTCATCATATGTAATTCTGATACACACATAAAAAGGCCAATATAAGTAAAATAAATTGGCGGTAGTATTCCAAAGACTCCTTCACATTTCAGAGTTCAACTGCCGTGAATCTGGTTTAGTCTCAGGGTTGTGATGTCTGCGTGTCCCTGCCACCTCCTCTAGAGCCATCCATAGTACCAGTGAGAGCAATACATACTCCTTAAAACATGTCTCAACCATAAAACCACCAGGAGCCACTGGTGTCGGCTCTTTAAGCAGCTTTGCAATCATGCAGAGCGAGCTGGCTTTTGATTCCTTGTTTGGGAGCCTTGCTAACCAGTCTGCTTCCCCTCCCCTGGGGCTTCCCAACATTCGGGTCCCAGGTTTGGGTTTAACGGAGTGCTCTGCTCTTGCCTCTGTGATTTTCTTCCAAGCCGCTGACCCAAAACACATTATGCTGGCCATGCTTCCGGCTGCCGCTGAGCACTGCACATTCTGTTCCTGCTGCCTGGACCATCCTCTCTTCCTTTCCACTTTGCCTCGTTACCCAGTCACCCTGATCTCAGCTCCCAGGGCGCGCCCCTCCGGGAAGCCTTCCCTAACCAGCCCGTGAAGGTCAAATGCCCTCCCCTTTAGTTTCTTAGTGCTGCTGTAACATAAATATCGCAAGTGGGTGGTTTTAACAAATAAAATGTTATTTTCTCACAGTTTAGGAAGCTTGAAGTCTGAATTCAGGGCACTGGTTCTAGGGGGGAGGCTCTCTCAGTGGGCTTTGAGGGAAAATCCTTGCCTCAGCTTCTCTAGCGCCGGGGTTCCTTGGTTCCTTGTCAATCTCCGATTTCCACGTGGCAGCTCTTTCCCCTGTTTGTGCTTGCTTGTCTCTGTGTCTGATCTGTTCTTTTTATATTTCAAAAGTGATTAGGTTTAAGACATACCCTACACTGATATGCACATTAACATAACAAAGAAAACCCTATTCCCAAGGGAGATGACATCAGGTATAGAGGCTTAAGCGTCCAGCCAGGGGCAGATTAACTAGTAAGCAAGTTATGCACAAGCTTGCGTTAGTAAGTAAGCACATTTCCGTATCAGTACCTTTCTTATTGGGTAATCCGTCCCTGATTCCAACACAAATTTTGGGGGACAATGTTCAATCCATAACACCTTCGTAGCACTTGGTACTACAGGAACAGCACAGTTTTGTGTGACTTTTTGTAGCTGTCTCCCCAGTGCGCTGTGAGTCCCCTGGGGATAGGGATGGTGTGGATTTTTATTTCATCCCAGCACCCAGTACAGTGCATGCAAGAATGAGCCCATCTCTCCCAGGTCCTGTAGGGAGCAGTGGGGGAACTGGGATGTCTTCCTGCCTCTTTATCCCCCTGACATGAGCTGCCAGTCTCCATGGAGTCCAACCTGTTTGTCTTACAGATGGAAATTGAGGCCCGGCAGTCGAGACCACTTGCCCAAGGCCCAGCTCAGCGTATATAGACTATGGAGAGTCCAGGGAAGGGGTGCTCATTTCTGGCTGGGGTTCAGAGGAGGCCTTCTGGGGGAGGGAACATCTGAATCTGGCCTCACAGGTGTGAGGCGGTGGTTAGATAAATTTAAGATCAAGGGGAAAGGGAAGGAGGGCTCTAATGACGGCTGGAAGAGGCAGGTGTGGGTGTGTCCACCTCCCCCACCCCCGCCCGGACTCCCCATGCAAAGCCCAGAGTCCCCTCAGAGGCCCTGGGGGGTTCAGGGCTGAGGTCACCTTCCTGGTTTTCCAGTAGGAAATGAGGCCCTGAGAGTGGAGAACTCACCCTCTTTGCTCATGGAGACAGAGAGCCGCAGGCCTCGCTCTTAGTGGCCCTTACCCGCCCTCCGTGACCTCTGCCCAGCCCTTTGGAGATGCAGCTCTGGGGCCAGGCCTTCCCATGGAGTGAGCAGTGAGGGTCTGGGGTGAGCAGAGTAGGCCCTGCCTGGCTGGGATGAGGATGTGGGGGCCGAGACAGGACTCTGGAGGAGCAGAGGCCGGCCTGCCCCCGGAAGGAGGAAGCTGCACAGGGTGTCTGTGGCGGGGCCTGGGATCCCCTACCCGGCGACTTCCTCTTCCTCTCAGGGCAGGTGTATCAGTCACAGGGGCACTGACACCCGGAGCCCAGCATGGAGGGGGGCGAGCGCCCCAGACTCAGAGACTTCCTGAGTGGGAGCCTGGCCACCTGGGTGAGGGAGCAGGAGGGAGGGAGTGGGGCTGGAGGGGAAGTGAGCAGCAGCAGGAGGGGCTGGTGTCTGATGTCAGGGCTGCCGAGGGTGGGGCACAGCTGGGACCAGAAGGGGGGGTGGGCTCAAATGTGGGGGTGGAGAGGTCCAGGGGGCTGTGCTGAAAGGAAGCGGGCCCAGAGTGGGGGGCGAGGCGTTCAAGGAATTGGTGAGGAGGGTGGCGGTAGGGCTCACGGGGGCAGGTCAGAGGGGCCCAGGACTCACTGGGCTAGGGGGGCTCCCACCTGGTCCAGCTGAGCCCTCTGCTCCCCACAGGCGCTGGGGCTGGCAGGGCTGGTGGGGGAGGCGGAGGAGCCCCAGGGTGAAGAGGAGGAGGAGCAGAAGGAAGACGGGCTACTTAGCCCTGAGAAGAGGTTTTTGCGACTCAGCGATGGGGCCCTGCTCCTCCGGGTGTTGGGCATCATGTAAGGGGCGTCAGGGGGCGGTCGGGGCAGGCTGATGGGAGGAGCCTGATGGGTGGTGGGTGGGGCTTGGCTGAGAAGGGACAGGCCCTTGACCACCTTTTTTCCTGTGCCTACAATGCCCCCAGTTCCAGAGGGGGACCTCAGATGGTTGGGGGCCATGAGAGTCCCGCAGCCAGGCGGGTCCGGAAACTGAGCCACCTGTGGGGTCGACTGAGGGATTTCTACCAGGTGAGAGTCAGCAGCAGAAGACTAATACGGGCAGCCCGCTGCAGGAGGGCCCCCTCATATCTCTCACTCCCTCCACCCCCAGGAGGAGCTTCAGCTGCTGATCCTGTCACCACCCCCAGACCTCCAGATGTTGGGGTTTGACCCTCTCTCAGGTACTCTCCCCTAGCACCCGTCTGCCTGTCCTCCTGCCCCCCACCATTAACCCTATGGCTTGTGCTTGCAGAGGAGGCGGTGGAGGAGCTGGAAGGCGTCCTGCGGCTGATGCTAGGGGCGTCGGTGCAGGTGAGCAGGCAGGAGGGCAGGGTTCTAATGGGGGGGGGGTCTCGGTGGATGGGAGACTCCCGCACCAGCCCCCCTCCTGTCTCCTGGCAGTGCGAGCACCGGGAACTCTTCATCCGACACATCCAGGGCCTCAGCCTCGACGTCCAGAGCGAGCTGGCTGCCACCATCCAGGAGGTACTGGCCTGGATGAAGGGCCTGGGACTGGCACTGCCCCCGGCGGACACCCTTGCCACCTGCCTTCTCCTGCTGAGCTGATCTCCCTGTGCCCCCAGGTGACCCAGCCTGGGGCGGGTGTGGTGCTGGCGCTGGCTGGGCCCGAGCCTGGGGAGTTGACACCTCCCGAGCTGGAGATGCTGTCCTGGAGCCTGATGGGGACACTGTCGAGGCTGGCACGGGAGCGGGACTTGGGGGCCCAGGTAGGGGGTGGCAGAGACATAGGGACCTTGGTGGAGGAACGGAAGAGGGCTGGGTACCCAGATGTGGGAAGGGATAGGATTGGAGCCCAGTGCTGGAGTCTGGCATCTTGGGCTGTGACAGCCAGGTTCATCTTGTAGTGGCTGGGGGCAGATGTGGGGGGCTATTGGAGGTGTCTCCTGATCCCTGCCTTTGAATTCGCACAGAGGCTAGCCGAACTGCTGCTGGAGAGGGAGCCGGCCCATCTCCCGCCTGAGGCTCCCATCAAGGCTCCCCTGGAGGGCCCATCGCACCACCTAGCCCTGCAGCTGGCCAACACTAAGGCCCAACTGCGGCGCCTGCGGCAGGAGCTGTGAGTGCCAGTAGGCCCGGGAAGGCGACCTGGGGAGGGGCAGATTAGGCCGGGACAGGGGCTTAGCCTGCTGGGTACCGCAGGATCAGGCCTAGGAAGAAACGGGGCTTGCGGACCCCACACCCCCTTTAGCTCCCCTTCCCGCCAGGGAGGAGAAGGCCGAGTTGCTGCTGGACTCCCAGGCGGAGGTGCAAGGCTTGGAGGCCGAAATTCGACGGCTCCGCCAGGAGGTGCGCCCCACCGCTCCCCGTCATTACCCCTCTCCACCCCACCCCACCCCCACTCCCCCTCCCACCTCCCGTCCCATTGCCGTCCCCTCAGCCCTCTCCTTCCCGACCCTAAGCCCTCTGGCCAGCAGCCGGCCGTTCCCAGCCCTTGCACCATCTGCCCAGGCCCAGGCGCTGTCGGGGCAGGCTAAGCGGGCGGAGCTATACCGCGAGGAGGCCGAGGCGCTGCGGGAGCGGGCCAGGCGCCTGCCCCGGTTGCAGGAGGAGCTGCGGCGCTGCAGGGAGCGGCTGCAAGCCGCCGAAGCTTGCAAAGGCCAGCTGGCGGTGAGGGGGCGGGACTAGATGCGGATGGGCGGGGCCAGAAGGGGAGGTGCTGGGTCTTGAGGAGAAGGGAGACTGGGTTAAGACAAGAGGGTCAGGTCAGGCCTTATGGAGGGTGCAGGCGCCCGTAGGAGCAATGGTGAGGACAAATGAGGGAGGCAGTGTCCGGGGAAAGGCCCTCAGGGCGATGGGGCGGATGGACAGGAGCGGTGCGGGGAGAGGAGGGTGGGGCCCAGAGCAGAAGAGGCGGTGTCAAGAGATAAAAACCCAGAGTGGGGGCTGATGGAGAGGTGAGGCCTTGGAAGGCGGGTCCAGGAAAGAAGGGGCGGGGCCTATAGAGGAGCAGGGCGGGGCTAGGTGCTTGGGAGGTGGGGGGAGAGAAAAAGAGGGAAGAGGGGAGAAGTGGGGCCTAGAGAGGAACAGGAATGGGGGTCAGATGGAGGAGCAGAGGCCTAGGGACAGTGGTTTGGGACTCGGGCCCTGGAGCGGTGGTGGGGGCTGCATCGCACCCCCGGTTCTTTCTGCTCTCCCTGCAGGAGGAGCGGGCGCTCTTGGGGACTCTGGAGGCCTCGAAGGCGCTGCTGGAGGAGCAGCTGGAGGCCGCCCGCGAGCGCTGTGCCCGACTGCACGAGAGCCAGCGTGAGAACCTGCTACTGCGGACCCGGCTGGGCGAGGCCCGTGCGGTGAGGTCGCCAGATGACCCCAGCTGGGTCGACTTGTGTCCCTGGTGACCCGTGATCCCTGGGTACCTTAGGGATTCCTATGACCTCTAGCCCTGGTGACATTTAAGAGGCCCAAGGCCCACACACTTGCCTGGCCAGGTGGGAAGTTCTGGCTGTCTGACCCTGGTCTCCCTGCTCCAGGAACTGGACTCTCTTAGGCATCAGGTGGACCAGCTGTCGGAGGAGAACGTGGAGCTGGAGCTGGAGCTTCAGCGCAGCCTGGAGGCACCCCCGAGCTCTCCTGGGGAGGGTGAGGAGCCCCGTGGAGGGGCCAGGGTGGGGGCTGCCTGTGTTTTCCTGCAGCTGTGGTGGAGGGCTTCTGACTTCACCCCCTTCCTAGGTCTCTGGGGACTGTATGTAAGGACGCAGAGAGTGTGGAGGGGCTACGGAGGGGGAGGGGTCCTGACCTCGTTTTCATACCCCCAGCATCCCTGGCAGCAGCCCCCTCGCTGCATGACGAGGTGAGGGAAGTTGAAGCTGGGCGGCTGCGGACCCTTGAGAGGGAGAATCAAGAGCTTCGCAACCTGCTGCAGGTGCTGCAGGGGCACCCAGGGCGACAGGTGAGCCCCCTCCCTCTCAATCCTAGCAGGTCTCTCCCGGACCTTCTTCTCTGGGCCTGACTGTCCCTCTCGTGTGTCCCCAGCCCCCTCTGCTGGAGGAGCAGGAGCAGAGCGAGGACTCCATAGTTCCAGAGCTGGCCGCGGTTCCCCTGGCAGTTCTCACTGAAGACCAGAGCCCCCAGGGCCGGGTCCCCCAGGTGGGGGATGAAGGCCCCCAGGCTTTGGGCCTGACTTCCAGGACATCAGACTCAGCGCTCCAGGGGTCAGACGAGTGTCCCCAGGCATCTGAGTCAGGCGCACAGGTAGTGGAAAGGCCCCTCCAGGAAGCAGTCATGGCGCCTCAGACCTCAGACTTGACCTCCCAGGAGTCAGGCCCTGCTGTGGAGACACAGGAGTCCCTTGAGAGGGCTGGCCATGGAGCCCCTCTCCAGACCCATGCCTCTGATGTGGCCCCATCTCAGAGTGCAGAGATCAAAATTCTGGCCCAGTTGTTGCTGGAAGGTGAGACTGGGGACAGAGAGGCTTCCCAAGGACAGTTGGTGTCTGAGGCTGGGGGGCTGAGACAGGAGGACCCTGGGCTCAACCCAGGACTCTTGGACCTCAGCCTCAGTGCACAGCTGGGGGAGCAGGGGACCCCAGAGCAGGGGCTGGACCTGTCCAATGTGCAAACAGAGGCCAGAGACCGTGAACAGAGGCTGGAGGGGACAGTTGGGGAACCAGCCCAGCAAAAACCACAACAAAGGTCCGAAGGGGCTCCTGAGACGCAGGCCTGGGAGAGGCCAATCTCAGGGGAGATCCTGGCCAGTGGTGTCCCAGAGCAGGGGACTCTGAGGGAGGAGGTGGCCCAGCTGAGGAGAGAGGCCGAGGCTCTCAGAGCTGAGCTGGAGGCCCAGGCCCGAAGGCTGGAGGCCAGAGGCATGGAGGCCACCTGTCTCTCTGAGGAGCTGGCTCAGGCACGCAGGGCAGAGGCCGAGGCCCACCGGGAGGTGGAGGCCCAGGCCCAGGAGCAGGCCCGGCTTCGTGAGGCAGTGGAGGCAGTCGGCCGGGAGCTGGAGGCTGCGGCGCGGGAGCGGGAGGCGCTGGCTGAGGCGCTGGCGGCAGCAGGCCGAGAGCGGAGGCAGTGGGAGCGAGAGGGGCCCCGGCTGCGGGCCAGGGCTGAGGCGGCTGAGGAACGGCTGCAGGTGCTGGAGAGCGAGGGCCACCAACACCTGGAGGAGGCAGAGAGGGAACGGCGGGAAAAACAGACGCTCAAGGAGGTACGTTGGGGCTCAGGGACAGAGTCAGCACAGGGGCTCATGGCCAGTCAGGAGACAGGAGTCAAGTCAGCCTTGCCATCAGTTGCTGCGAGTTTTGGGTTGTTTATTCCACCAGCAGTCACTAAATGCCCAGCCCTGTGCTGGAGCTACAAGCCCACCCCTGCCCTCTAAGCGTCTGCCTGGCCAGAGTGGATATCCTCTGTCCCTGTGGTGGGCTGTTTGGAGGCGATAAGAGGGTGGGCTTTGGAGCCAGACCACCCGGATCTGACCCTGGGCAGTTTACCCCCACCCCAGTTCTTCCTTCTGTAAAATGGGGATGCTCTTCGTTGCTGCCTCAGTGGGTCTTTTGGAAGACCAGGGGAGATAATGGTGTAAAAATGCAGGCAAAGGCGCCGTGGTTGCTCAGGATACATTGGTTATTAAGAGCAAAGTGCTGCAGGGGCCCATGGGGGGGAGCTGATGGCCCGGGTGGGGGCAGGGAAGCTTCAGGGAGGGTTTGAGGATGACTGGGATTTCACTGCGAGGGGACGGACATTTCACCCAAGAGGAACAGCGTGTGCAGTGACTTTAAGGTGTTAAAGATGCTCAGGGGCCCAAGAGGAGTGAGGGCTGGGGGCTGGAGGGGCAAGTTAGGCCAGTTCTGAAGGTGTTAGACCTCCATCCCCAGGGAGGGAAAGCCGCCAAAGGGTGTGGACAGGCCTTGCAGGCCGTCAGGAGGTAGTGGCAGTGGTCCAGGTGGCAGGTGAGGCTGGTGGGGTGAGACAGGGGATTGAGAGAGGGAGGGACTGGGGACACTGTTATTTATTCATTCAAACATGTTTAAGGCATCTCCTTGGTGCCAGGCCCTGTACCAGGCTCTCCATTCTTAGGGAGGTGCTCGTGGTTTAGGGTGGAGGCAGGACAGCACAGGGAGCCCAGGAGGCTCAACTCAGCTGTGGCGTGTCAGGGAAGGCTTCCTGGAGGTGGAGGCTTTCTTTTCTAGAAGGAGGCTCAGACACAGGTTTGGAGGGGTGGGATTGAATCCTGTGAAGCATACGGGGGGGTGGGGGTGGGGCACGGAAAAGGTGAGGCCGAGAATTAAGCAGGGTTCCTGTTAGGCAGGGCCTGAGCTTCCTTCCAGCATAAGGAAGGAATTGGGACTTTTATTATGAGTGAAACAGTAAGCAGCATTTTCACCCCCAGGACTGGCGTGGTCAGGTCTCTGTGTTGAGAGACCCCTCAGGAGAAGTGGAGGAGGCATCAGGCTGCAGGGCCAGTCCTGGGGGTGAAAGTGCCCTGCGGGGTGAGGAACTGAATCATCTGACCTGATGTAGTTTCCAGTTTCATCCCCATTTTACAGATGGAAGGAGTGGGGAGCACACTGTTGTGTTGACCAAGGACGCGGCATGGGGCAGGGCAGGATCAGGGGAGTAGGAGGTCTGGAGAAAATGAGATCTGGAGATGGGGGCAGCGTTGGTGAGAGGATAAGGGTGAGAGGTTGGCTGTGTAGGGTGTGACTGGGAGATGCTGTTAGGCCGACCTGGGTTATATCCCACATCCCCTACTTATCAGCTGTGTGGCTTGAGACAAGTTACTTAACCTCTCTGAGTCTTGGTTTCCTCACCTGTAAAACTGGAAAAAAAACAGTGCCTGTCTCACAGGATCCTGTAAGATTATGATGGCAGAGAGCATGGGACAGCCCCTGGCACCTAGTACAGGCTTGCTTCGTGGACAGGGGAGAGGATCATGCTGGCTGGGGAGGATATGCCAGCAGGTGGCAGTGCTGGTGAGACTAGGTGGGGCTGGCAGGGTGGAAGAGCCAGAGGGTGGGAGAAGTTGGGGACAAAGAGGGAATTTTGTGAGGTTTCCTGGTGATAAGGGGTGTGGTGCAGGAGGAGGGGGTGGAGGTGGTTGTCCTGGTGGAGGTGAGGGAACCAGCAACCAAGGGGGTTGTCCAGGTGGGTGCTGAGGCCCCTGGGCTGGGCAGAGGGCAGGCAGTGCCATGGAGGGTGGCCCAGTGAGGGCTGTGGCCAGGGCCTAGAGGAGGCAGGGCAGGGGCCTGGGCGGGGGTTCCAGTCTCCTTCACCTGCACTTTCCTGTCCCCAGCCCCCAGCCCCCAGCTCTAGTGCTGCCTGCTGAGCAGTGGTGGCTCATGGGACTTGTAGTTTTTCAGAGGAGGCAGTGGCTGAGGGTGTTGAGAAGTGCCGTGCCCCAGGGGCAGGCCCCAGTTGGGTTGTGAAACCGGTATGGTCGTTTTTCAGCAGCGGAAGCTTGTGGGCTTGGTTTCCAGTGGCAGGATTTGGCGGGCGGCAGTTCAGAGTCTGCACTTCCTGTGGTTTCATCCTGCCAGCTCCGCCCCCTCCCAGAATGGTTTGACCTACCTCCTTCTCTGGCCCACAGGCCAGAGTGTGCCTCCCTCCCCCTTCCCCGATGGTGTGACCCAACAGCCACTGTCCGCATCCTCCTTGTCCTCCCCCTCTTGGACCCCCAGTGTAGTTAGGCCTGATGTCCTGGAGTTCATATTCTGATTCCCGAGTTCCTGGCCCGCTAGCCCTCTGTAGCCATCCCCCTGTGGCCAACGGTTCTCTCTAGACCTGCCACGCTGGGACCCTTGCGCCCTCATGGCTGGGCTGGTCTCAGCCCGCAGAGCATGTCCATCTCTCCCTGTGCACACAAGGAACCGTGGGCTTAGACAGGTGAAGACACCTGCCTATGAGGGTCTCTGACTCCCAGCCCAGGGGCCTCCCCGACACAACCACCCAGCTCTTTCACACACACACTCTGTGAGGCCACTAGGCTTCGCTCCCGTTTTACAGATGGGATTGTAGAGGCCCAGGGGATAAAGGCGTTGGCCTGGGTGACAGAGCAAGGATGGAAAGCAAAGTCTCCTGACTCTCAGTCTCTGTCTCTGCCTGCCCCTCCCGCCCCCGGGTGGTGGGTGTCCCTTCTGGCCCTGAGCTTACTCTGCCTGCCCCCAGGAGCTAGACAAGGCGGTGATACGGGGCCAGGAGCTGGGGGCCCGGCTGGAGTGTCTGCAGCGGGAGCTGGAACAGGCGGCTCTGGAGCGGCAGGAGTGGCTGCAGGAACAGGAGTGCCAGCACCAGAGGTGGGGACACCGAGTGGGAGGGAGGGGCTCGGGGGAGGGCAGGTGGGGGGGCTGGTACCAAGGCTGCTCCTGGCAGGTACCAGGGTCTGGAGCAGCGGCTGGAAGCAGAGCTGCAGGCGGCGGCCACCAGCAAGGAGGAGGCACTGTTGGAGCTCAAGGCCAGGGCCCAGCACTTGGAAGAGGAGCTGTTCCGGGTGAGGCCGCCGGCCCTGGGAGCTGGGGACCCTCGCTCACCCCCGTCCATCCCATGAGCAGATGTCCAGTGCTGTGTGTGTGCCTATCCCTCCAGGCCACCCTCTCTGGCCTTGCCCCTGGATTCTTGACCAGCTGCTTGCCTCCTGCCCCCATTCAGGCCTGTTGGAGGGAGCACAGTGCAGGGAGTCAGTTAGGGGGCTGATTCTGCTCAGGCTGTGCACTGTGTGGCCTTCTGGGGGCCTTGTCCCCCCCACCCCCACCCCATCCATCAAATGCACAGAACCCTGCAGCTCTGCTCTACGGTGCCACTGTGCTTCTCTTGCTTGGGCCCATGCTTCCTAGTGGCTCAGCCAGTGTCCTTGTAAGTCAGGAAATGTTTATGGAGCACCTGTGAGTGCTGGGCCCAGGGCTCAGGTGGTGGTGGTGGGGCCAAGACCAGGCTGTCATCCTTGGGCTCACGGTCTAGAGCCATGTAACAAGGACTCAGTGCTGAGAGCTGCGATGGGGCCGAGTGGGGCACCTGCAGGCCCCTTGGTGTGGGGAAGTTTTGCTGGAGAAGCCGTGTCTATACCGGGGCTCAGAGGAAGAGAGGGTGGGAGCAGCTTTCTCTGCAGAAGAACCAGCATGGACAAAGGCAGGTCTTCTGCAGATCCCAGAGAAGTTTGGAAGTATGCAAACTGCCAGGAGCTGTGAGGCTGCGGGATCCCGGGGAGGGGCGTGTGATGGAGGTGGGGTAGGCAGTGCCAAATGCTGCGGGCGTGTTAAGGGTCCACTGGTTTAGGTCCCTGCACCACCCCTGCCACCACTCCCCCGTGTGACATCCCAAGGCCTCTCCTTGCAGCTTCGCCAGGGCCCTGAGGGGCTAGGGCCCGCAGAGCAGGCTGGGCCTCGGACCCTGGAGACCCAGAGTGGGCGACTCATCGAGGTGGAGCGCAGTGTGAGTGTGGGCCGGGGTGGGCCTTGGGGGGTGCCCCAGCCACCTGGCCACTGCTGACCCTTCCCCTCCTGGTAGAATGCGGCGCTGGCGGCTGAGAAGGCAGGTCTGCAGGGGCAGCTGCAGCACCTGGAGGAGCAGCTGGGGAGCATGCAGGGGCGGGCCCAGGAGCTGCTACTGCAGAGCCAGCGAGCACAGGAGCACAGCAGCCGCCTGCAGGTGAGTGGCCACCGGCGTGCCCTGTCTCAGCTTCATCCCTGCCCTGTCCCCTGCTCACTTACTGCTGCCCCTACCCCTTTTAAAATTATTATTTAGTGCCGTTCCCTGCCCCAGTTCCCAACCAGCAGCCCCCAAGTCACATTGATCCTTTCCCTCTGACCCCAGTCACCCCATCCTGTACTCCTTCTCCCTGCCCCTGCCTACTTCAACTTGCCCCTTCCCCTTGTCCCTACCTTCTTCCCTGCCCCTTCCTCCTTCTTCCTATCCCAACCCCCACATCAGCACCCCTTTTTGCCGGTCTTCAGCCCTCTCCTCCACAGCCAGCCATTGGCCCTACGCCAGGCCCTGTCTGTCCCATCCCTGCCTTTGGTCTCTTGCCTGCCCCTCCACGGCTTGGCACCAGTATCAGCCTCCATGACACCCCTGCCCTCCCCTTGCCCTCTGCCCTTAGGCCCCTGCTGCCCCCACCACAGCCCTCTGCTGCCTCCACGCTGTCCACTCCTCATCCTCTGCCTTGCCCGCTGCCCTTTGCCCCGTGTCCCCTCTCACCCCGGCGGGTCCTGCCTCCCTCTTGTGCCCCAGGCCGAGAAGGCCATGCTGGAGCGAGAGGGCCAGGAGCTGCACAGGAGGCTGGGGGTGCTGGAGGAGGAGGTGCAGGCAGCTCGGCGGTCCCAGGAGGAGACCCGCGGGCAGCAGCAAGCCCTGCTGCGGGACCACGAGGCCCTGGCCCAGCTGCAGCGGCGGCAGGAGGCTGAGCTGGAGGGGCTGCTGGTCCGGCACCGCGACCTGAAGGCCAACATGCGGGCACTGGAGCTGGCCCACCGGGAGCTGCAGGGCCGGTGAGCCTCCCAGCACCCAGCTCCCCTCCCTGTGTTGTAAAGCATCTTGCCTGCTCTTCCTGTCTGCAAGTCCCCAACCCCCGAACCCCCACAAACAGCACTCCTTCCAACAGTCCTGCACCCCCCTCAGTTTACTAAAACCAAAAAGACCATTGCCAGCGAGTTGATTCTGACTCACAGTGACCCTAAAGGACAGGGTAGAGTTGCCCCATAGGGTTTCCAAGGTGTAAATCTTTACGGGAGCAGACTGCCGTACCTTTCTCCCGCGGTGCGGCTGGTGGGTTCGAACAGCAGCTGAGCGCTTAACCGCTGCACAACCAGGGCTCCTCGTGTTCCATTTAAGTTACTATGAATTCACTCAGAAAAGTGCTGGTAACTTGTTATTCTTAAATATTTTTTTTTAAAAAAAGTTAGTAATAGAGAAAAGCTTTTCACCCTCCAGAACTCACCTCCAGAGTGTGTTCTCCGGGGCACCCCCAGACTCTCTCAGGTCCCGTCCTGCCAGGAAAACACACCAGCTAGCAGATCCCCCTCCGCTTAGAGATAAGGTGCCCTAGTGGCTGCTGGGCTCCACACTTCCAGGCCTGGCTCACCCTGGGGCTCTCTGTCAGGGCGAGGGGCACCTTTGGCTTTACCTGGTGGGGGGTCCTGTGCTCAGGAGGTGGCAGACTCAGCCCCAGATAGTTCAGCCGCCCGCTTGCCCAGCCCCAAGGCCCTTGCAGCCCTCTCAGCCCCTTGCTTATCCCAGGCACGAGCAGCTGCAGGCCCAGCGAGCCAACTTGGAGGCACAAGAGGTGGCCCTGCTGGCGGAGCGTGAGCGTCTGATACAAGATGGGCGTCGGCAGCAGGGGCTGGAGGAGGAGCTGCGGCGGCTGCAGAGCGAGCACGACAGGTACCAGCCGGTTTTCAGTGTTCCTGTCTGTGAAATGGGTTGGTGGGGAGCTGGTCCTGGTCCCTGTGGGGTCCTGCTTTGCCTCCTCTCTCCAGGGTGGCTCCCCTGGCCCTCAGGAGGGCTAGAGGCAAGTCCCCTCGGAGAGCAGCTCCCTGGTTTCCACAGGGCTCAGCTGCTGCTGGCGGAGGTGTCCCGGGAGCGAGGGGAGCTGCAGGGCGAACGTGGGGAGCTGCGGGGCCGCCTGGCACGGCTGGAGCTGGAGCGGGCGCAGCTGGAGGCACAGAGCCAGCGACTGCGCGAGTCCAACCAGCAGCTGGACCTGAACGCCTGCCGGCTGACCACGCAGTGCGAGGTGTGCGTTGGGGTGGGCAGTGGCTGGGCGTGGCAGGATGGAAGATTAGCCTGGGAAAGCAGACCCGGCCGCTCTGATCTGTCTTGCCGACCCCTGTCCCCTGCCAGCTGCTGACACAGCTGCGGAGTGCCCAGGAGGAGGAGAATCGACAGCTGCTGGCAGAGGTGCAGGCCCTGAGCCGGGAGAACCGGGGGCTCTTAGAGCGCAGCCTGGAGAGCCGGGATCACCTGCACCGTGAGCAGCGCGAGTACCTGTGAGCGGCTGGGTGCTGAGCGGGTCCTGGAGGCCTCTTTGGCAGGGGGACCCCTGGGGGGGTCCTGAGGAAAGGGCTGCGGCTGCCAAGGGCGCCTGGGGGCTCAGGGATGGCGGCAATTCATTAGCCCATACCAGAGTATATCTACGTGTTAACAACTTGCTTGTACCAGTGTGCACGTGCCGACACCCATGAGCTCCCAGTCTCATGCCCATCTGTCCCCTCCCCATCCTGCCAGGGACCAGCTGAACGCCCTGCGCCGAGAGAAGCAGAAGCTGGTGGAGAAGATCATGGACCAGTACCGCGTGCTGGAGCCTGGGCCCCTGCCCCGGACCAAGTGAGAGGCCGCTCCCACCCCCTGGGCCAGGGTCCTCTCACTTCCCACCCAGCCCGGCCCTGTCCTCTCATCCCCAGCTCGGGGCAGGCCCCAGTGAGGGTTTGCCTGGTCTTGGCCATCCCCAACACTGCCCTCCTCTCCCTCCTTCCTCCCTGTCCTTACCCCCTCTTGTGCCCTCTTGCCGACAGGAAGGGCAGCTGGCTGGCAGACAAGGTGAAGAGGCTGATGCGGCCCCGGCGGGAGGGGGGCCTCCATGGGGGTCCGCGCCTGGGGGCCGATGGGGCTGGAAGCACCGAGAGCCTGGGGGGCCCCCCGGAGACGGAGCTCCCCGAGGGCAGGGAGGCAGATGGGACAGGTGGGTCTGGGAGCTAGGTGACCAGGATGGTTCCTAGCCCATGTCCCTCCCCCCTGCCACCCCGACTCTTGCCTGTGCCTCTGGCCACTCCCTTTCTGGCTAGCCTTCCCTGCTGCCTGCCCAAACGCTTTCTGTGCCCTCTGCCTGGGCCCCCCTGCTGGGTCCCTCTCAGCTGGCACCTCCCTCCTGCCTGCACTGCCCACCCACCCAGTCCTACCCCATCTTCAGTAGTTCGTGGGACCTCAGAGCAGCAGGGAACATTAGTGAGAGGTCATTTATCCCAGACAGCAGATGAGGAAACTGAGGCCCAGAGAGGGAGAGTGCCTTGCCCAAGGTCACACAGTAAGTTAGCGTCAGAGCCAGCATAGGGCCCAGCCTCTGGAGGGTGATGGTGTCACCCTCACTCCGGGACCCTCTGCCCTGCCTCTGCAGCCGCCTCTCCTCGCTCCTGCAGCCTCCCCTGAAGGCCTTCCGCTGGGCCCCGGACCTGCCTGCACTTCTCTGACCCTTCCCTTCATGCACTCTTGCAGGGCTCCCCTCACCGGCACCCATGCGCCGAGCCCAGAGCTCCCTGTGCCTACGGGATGAGACCCTGGAAGGTGGGCAGCGGCGGAAACTCAGCTCACGGTTCCCCGTGGGGCGAAGCTCTGAGTCATTCAGCCCTGGAGACACGCCCCGGCAGCGATTCCGCCGGCGCCGCTCAGGCCCCCTGGGGGCGCCCAGCTCCCATAGCAAAGGTGGGGGACAAAGGTCCCTGTCTCTGCTAGCCCCCCACTTTCCAGCGGACCCACCATCTCCTTGGGGAAGGGGGCTTCCCTCCTGTTTGGTGTCTTCCCACAAGCCCCACCCTCCTTTGCCCTGATCCCTGGGGCCCAGTGGCTACATTGTGTCCCTCCGCTTCCCCCCACCCCAGGATCTGGTGTGGGATGGAACAGCTCCGTCGAGTCCCTGGCGGAACAAGAAGCAGATGTCAGCCGAGAGGGTGAGTGGGGGCCTGGGAAGGGGGCGGAGGTTTTCGCCCCACCCGGGGCTCCTGACAGACCTCATCCATCCATTTGCTCATTTGACAAAAAGTTATTGAGTCTTCACTAAGTGCCAGGTCCTGTGCTAGCTGGGGATACAGCAGGGAACATTCTGGTAGGGGACACAGATTGTAAACAGTAGGCTCTGTCCCATCGAAATAAGACGTGTAATTTTCAGTTTCCTAGTAGCCTCAACAAAAAAGGCAAGAAGAGGCAGATGAAATTAATGTGAATGACACTTTCTTTACCTCAGTATGCCTAAGATATCACGTCCACACGTGTGGTTGTTAGATGCCGTCCAGTCGGTTCTGACTCGTAGCGACCCCGTGTACAACAGAACAAAACGCTGCCCGGTCCTGCGCCATCCTCACAATCGATTGTTATGCTTGAGCCCACTGTTGCAGCCACTGTGTCAATCCATCTTGTTGAGGGTCTTCCTATTTTTCACTGGGAGTCCCTGGGTGGTGCAAATGGTTAATGCACTCGGCTGCTAACCAAAAGGTTGGATGGAGGTTCCAGTCCACCCAGAGGCACCTCAGAAAAAAGGCCTGGCAATCTACTTCCGAAAAATCAGCCATTGACAACCCTGTGGAGCACAGTTCTGCTCTGACACACATGGGCTTGTCATGAGTCAGAGTTGACTCGATGACAACTATTGTTTTTTTGTTTCAACATGTAGTCAGTGTAAAATGTTTACACTGTTAGATATTTTACATAATTTTTTCATACCGTCTTGGAAGTCAGGGCTGTTCTATACTCTACAGCAGCTATCCGTGGCTCAGAGTGCCTGTACTGGGCAGCCCAGCTCTGGAATATTGTTGTTAGGTGCCATGGAATCGATTTCTACTCACAGTGACCCATGTGACAGAGTAGAACTGCCCCATAGTATTTTCTAGGCTATAAATCTTTATGAGGAAGGAGCCCTCGTGGCGCAGTAGTTAAGCTCCTGGCTGCTAATCGAAAGGTCAGTGGTTTGAACCAACCAGACGCCCTACAGGAAAAAGATGTGACAGTCTGCTCCCGTAAAGATTACAGCCTTGGAAACCCTATGGGGCAGTTCTACTCTGTCACATGGGGTAGCTATGAGTCAGAATAGGCTTGACGGCAATGGGTTTGGTTTTTGGTTTGGTTAATCTTTATGGGAGTAGATCACTAGGTCTTTTCTCCCGATGAGCTGCTGGGTGGGTTCAAATCGCCAACCATTCGGTTAGCAGCTGAGCGCTTAACCACTTAATGGTTGTGCCACCAGGGCCCCTTCCTTAGATTATCAGGAGGTGATAATGTTCTGGGAGAAAATGTAGAGTGAGGGGATTAGGGGTGCCCAGGAGCGAGAGTTGCTGTTTAATTAGAGTGCTTAGGTAGGCTTCACAGAGGAGGGGGAGCTGGAGCAAAGACTTGGAGGTGAGAATCTGTCAGGTCCATATATCTGGGATCAGCATTCCAGGCATGAGGAACAGCCAAAGCAAAGGCCTGGCATGTTCAGGACAGGCGAGGAGGGCCGTGTGGCTGGAGTGGAAGAGGTTGGGGGGCCAGGGCGGGCCTCTCGAGGACTAGGGGTCCTCCTGAGTGAGGGGGCCCTGAGTTGAGCCTTTCCTTCCAGGCCTCGAGGTGCAGGAACAGGAGAAACGCCTCCTCGCCCCTTCCCTCAGCCAGTGACACCGCGTGGATGGGGACCACGGGAGCGGTGCCCTCTCGCCGCTGGAGCTCAGCGGGCTCCCGCCAGCCCAGGAGCTCGGGGAGTCAGGGCACCCGAAGGGAGTCCTTGGACCAGGAGGCCCTGAGATGGAGCTGGGATGAGCTTGTGGACGGGGGGAATGGCCATCCCCCAAGAGCAGCTCCTTGCCAGGGTGCCGGCTCTGCCATGCGGTCCCCGCTGAGGAGGCGGTCTCTGGGGGATCGCCCTTTGGAGGGAGGCTGGCAGGAGCGGGCAAGAGAGCCCCCCGCCGGGTTCAGGTGGGGAGCTGAGGACCACTCCCTGGGGTCTGTGACCTGGGCTGATCTCTGAGCTGGGATGTGAGGGATGTGAGAATAAAGCGGGGACCCAGTCACCTGACTTATTTTGTGTCTTCTGGTTGCATCCAGGGGCTACAAGGTGTCAGGGACACATGCAGCCCCAAGTCCTCCCGGCTGGGGAGGGAACGGGGGCAGCAGTCTGTGGCAGAAGGCATCCCTGCCCTGGACAGGGCAGCAAAGGGCGCTTGTTATGGGAGGCCAGCTGGGCTTGTCAGTCTGGATGTCCCAGCGTGTGTGGGGGTGCATTCTGGGTAGTAGATGACCATGCCCCAGCAGTGGGTGGGGCCTGAGGTCTCAGCTCTGCCTTTGCCTAGAAGGTGGGGTCTGCAAGCCCCAGAGGCCCCGCCCCTTCTAGGGTACCTTCTTCTCTCCACATCTCCCCACATTCTCATTTCCTCTTCCCCACCCCTTTGGTGGAGGGACGCAGGAGGTGGGAGGCACCCAGGGCCTTGGAAGACGACTGGGACGGAGGGCAATTAGGCTGGCCGGCCAGTTGTGAGCCAGGGGACTTGGGCCGCCCGGGGCAGGATGCCCTGCCGGGGCTAAGCTGAGGCAGCCTGGCCTCTGGCTGCTCCTGAACCTAGGGGTGGGCAGAGCTGGGAGGGTGGCCATCCAGCTTCCCCAGGGTGAGCTGCAGAGCCCGACTCAAGGGGTTTCTGTACCCCTACCTTGGGGTTAATGCCCAGCTCTGCCCTCCTCTCAAGTGGATCGGGGGCAGGGGGAAATGGGCAGGGTGGACGCCCTGACCTCCAGCTAGGCTGAGGAGCAGAGAGCCCCCTCCCGTAGGCCTCAGAGCAGGGGCTGTGGTGGCTGCCGCACCCTGCTTGGTGGCCTCTGTTAGTTGCCAGGGATGGGGAGGCCTGGGAGTTGCCTGCCTCTGGGAGGCTGGAAGAGGAGGCGGCAGAGGCTCTAGCAGACAGGCCACTCAGGGGCTCTGGGTGTGATGGGGAGAGGCGGTTGCCCCCTGTGTGGCTCTAACATGCTTTTTGAGGTCTACTCTGGGCTTGGCACCATGCCAAGCTCAGGGACAACAGGGAAACATAACCATGTGAGGTGTGCACAGCACCGGGGGGCTTCCAAGGGTGGCTGGGGGCTGAGGCTTTTCTGCAGGCCCAGAGAAAGAGATCCAGTTGGGGCAGAAAAGAGATCCAAGCACGCTGCTACAGCCTGGCTTGACTCCAGGCCCCTTTGGCGCCCCCTGTAGGCACTAAGAGGTCCCCGTGGCACAAGGCGGGAGCCAAGATAGGGCTTGGTCCTCAAGGCCCCTAAGCCCCCTCATACTTCCTCTGCAGAAGCAGGTCCACAAGAGAGGGGGTCTCTGCTGGCCATCTGGAAGTGCAGGAAGGGAGCTGGGGATGACGGAGTTGGGGCCAGGTTGGTCCCACTGCCCGTGGGCTGGGTGGCTTCTAGGATCCTGACACCCCCTTGCCTGCCCAGCACCAGGAGGACTGGCCACGCTGATTTAGGGGTTCTGGGCCCAGGCTGTGTTCAATGAGGGTGGCCGTGTGGCCTCTGGCTGCCCATCAGTCAAGGGGGCACACACAGCCCCTCCCCACTTGCCGAGGTCAGAGTGATCACAAACGGAGCAGGTGGGCTGTGCTTTTTAGGAAAGCCCTTGCGCCCTTTCTGGTGGCTAAGAAAATCAGGTGGAAGAGGCACTGCTGCCCTCAGGCTGTGCTCTAGGAGGGTGGGCTCTATGTCTGTTGTGGACCTCCCCCCACCTTGGGGCATAGACGTCTGGTGTCCCGGACACTGGCTTCGGTAGGCATCCTGGGGCAGACACCTGGCTTGGGGGTGTAGGACCAGTAGAGGCTCCAGGTAATCCCGGACCCCGGGCATGGCCCCCAAGGGGGTCCCAGATCCCTGGGGGGGCTGTTGCATGTGGCCCCCCCTTAACACACAGCCCTGATGCTTGCCCCCATGCAGGAACACAGGGCCACCCCTACAGGCTGCTCACTGCAGCCCGGGGCTGTCACGTTCCAGCCGCCTGACTCAGGCCGCGCGGGGCGGAGAGCCGAGAGGCGGCGCCCACCTCGGCCTGGAGGCGGCACCAGGAAGCGCCCGCCCCGCCCGGAGCCGCCATGTAACCGGCGCCGCCCGGAGCCCGAGTCGCGCGGGCCCAGCGACCCGCCCGCCATGGGGGACGAGGACGAGGACGAGGGCTGTGCGGTGGAGCTGCGGATCACAGAAGGTGGGGCAGGAATGGCAGGGGCGCGGGGTGGCTGTCTTGTAGGGCTGGGAGGGTCATAGCCGGCTGGGCTGATTCGCTCCCTGTGCTCGCAGCCAATCTGACCGGGCATGAGGAGAAGGTGAGCGTGGAGAACTTCGAGCTGCTCAAGGTGCTGGGCACGGGAGGTGAGGACCGCCGGCCCCCAGGCAGGTGTCTCAGGCTCGGCGCCCTGGGCCTCCAGGGCCGCAAACCCGCCTGGGCCCGGGCCAGGCCACTGGGAAGGCCCCCCACCCTTTCCCGGCACAGCCGCCTAGCTCGCCCCGCCCTGCCCCGCCAGGGTTTGCATGCCCTCTCTCAGGGCTGGCTCAACGGTGACATCGTTCCTCCTGTGCGTGCATGCCCCCCACCCTGCGGTGCCTTGCACCCCTCCCAATTATTTCCAGAGCTGCTCCCCTTCCCCTGCACCGAGCTCCCTGCCCCTCTTTGCAAACTCCCTAGCCGTGATTTGCACTGCCCACCCGCACCTCTGCCTCCCTTCCTTGGATTTGCAGCCTCTCTCATCCGCCTTCTCTCTCGCAGGTTTGCACATGCCCCGCCCCCATCTCGGGCTGCAGGCCTCCCGGGGTTGCATGTTCCCCAGCCTGGGTTGCACATCCCCGCCCTGGTTTTGCGGAGCATCCTCCTGGGGTTTGCCCACCTTTTCCTTGCACACCTCTTCCAGCTCTTTGCACACCTGCCTGGCGACCCGGCTTCCACTGTCGATTTGCACAGCGTCCTGGGTTGACATCACCCCCACCCCCACCAGTCTGCACCACCCTCCTGCTCACGGACCACCCTCCACCCACTTGATGCTCCCACAGCCTACGGGAAGGTGTTCCTGGTGCGGAAGGCGGGCGGGCATGACGCGGGGAAGCTGTACGCCATGAAGGTGCTGCGCAAGGCGGCGCTGGTGCAGCGCGCCAAGACGCAGGAGCACACGCGCACGGAGCGTTCGGTGCTGGAGCTGGTCCGCCAGGCACCCTTCCTGGTCACGCTGCACTACGCCTTCCAGACTGACGCCAAGCTGCACCTCATCCTGGGTAAGAGCAGCCGTACTCTGACCTGGGCTGGGGTGGGTGCAGGCGCGTCCACTCTGACTGGTGCTCTCTGACCCCCACCCCGTCCCCCAGACTACGTGAGCGGCGGGGAGATGTTCACCCACCTCTACCAGCGCCAGCACTTCAAGGAGGCTGAGGTGCGCGTGTATGGGGGCGAGATCGTGCTGGCCCTGGAACACTTGCACAAGGTGGGCGGGGCCCTGGCCACGCGGCTGTTGCCATGGGGACGCGTCTGAGCCTTGTAAGGGGCTTCCGAACATGGCCGCCATGGGACTCTCCCCGGGCCTCCAGGGTAGTGGTGTCCTCAGTGGAGACCGGGGCTGCTTCACAGGCCTGGAAGGAAGGGCTCAGCGCGGCCTGCGGAGGGGTTAGGGGGTGGGGGAGGGCCTTCTCCTCTGGCGCCTCTGCCCAGGGGCTTTCCTCTCACAGGGAGCTCGGGGGCTGCCTCCTGAGACGCTCTCACAGAACTTCCTCAAACGCAGACCTCAAGCTCGCTCCCAGCGCCTCCTTGAAATGGAGCTCTTCACCGGGCTTTCCTTCCTCCGGGACCTTGGGGGCTGCTCCAATGGGGCCTCCTCCTGGGGTCCACCTTCCTTGCCTTTGTTCCTTAGAATGGTTCGGCTCCGGCCCAGCCCCTGCCAAAGGGGTCCCTCTGCATGCAGGTGTCCTTGATCAGGGACCTCCTCTTAGAGGGTCTCCTTGTTTTGAGTGGGGACCTGGTTGGCAGCAGATGTGGAGGGACACTGATGGGGTGCTTGCCCCTGGAGGCTTAGAGCTGGGTAAGGTCTTGGGGAGGAAGCTCAGTGCCCTTTTTGCCCTGCCAGCTGGGCATCATCTACCGGGACCTGAAGCTGGAGAATGTGCTGCTGGACTCCGAGGGCCACATCGTCCTCACGGACTTTGGACTGAGCAAGGAGTTCTTGACAGAGGAGGTGAGGGAGGGCCATCTCTCTGCCCACTGCGTCCCCATTCAGGCCTCTCCTTCCTGTCTCTTCCTGCCCTGTGCCCGGCTCTGTGTTTCCAGAGGTGAATAGACCCAGGCCCTGCCTTCAGGAAGCTCCCGCTGCCTTCACCCTCGCAAGTCTGTCAGGTCTTCACTCTGAGCCTCAGAGGCTGCTGGGGCACAAGAGAAACCTTGGGTGCCTAAATGTGCCCTCTCGTCCTCCCAGAAAGAACGGACCTTCTCCTTCTGTGGCACTATCGAATACATGGCCCCTGAAATCATCCGCAGCAAGTCGGGGCATGGCAAGGTGGGTTGGCGGGGGAGCAGGGGCAGTGGGTGTGGGTGGGGGCAGTGTAGGCCCTCATCTTGGCTCCGCCCTGGTAGGCCGTGGACTGGTGGAGCCTGGGCATCCTGCTCTTCGAGCTGCTGACGGGGGCCTCGCCCTTCACCCTGGAGGGCGAAAGGAACACTCAGGCTGAGGTGTCCCGGTGAGGAGGGCTGGATGTGGAGGCAGCCGAGGGCTAGGGGCCTGCCTAGGCAGGGCTGTGGGGGGGGCCTGCTGCCCCTGACGCGCCCCCAATCCTCTCAGACGGATCCTGAAGTGCTCCCCTCCCTTCCCCCCTCGGATTGGGCCTGTGGCACAGGACCTGCTGCAGCGGCTGCTTTGCAAGGACCCCAAGAAGCGGCTGGGCGCGGGTCCCCAGGGAGCACAGGAAGTTAAGAACCACCCCTTCTTCCAGGTGAGGCTCCGGACTCTGGGTCCCCACCCCTCCCTGCTGTGCACACCTAGGCTGGGCTGCTGCTCTGGGCTGGGGGATGTGGTGGGAGAGTCTAAGCCTGGTAGATTTCACTTTACCCAGACCACCCCTCACGGAAAGAAAGCAAGTGTGTGTAAGCTGAGGCTTGCCCTCTCGTCCACCCCCACTGAGACTTTGCAGATGCGTTCCTGAAGGAACGAGTTCTAGGTTCATCATGTCTGGGCTGCCAGGGACTTGAGAATGGGTCAACCAGTCCTTTCAATTGACAGGCCCAGAGAAGGGAGGGGACTGCCTGGGATGGCACAGAAAATGGTATAGAGCTGGGGACAGAACCCAGGTCTCCTCTGGGCCCAAATTAGTCATGAAAATCACAGGTATGGCTCTTAGCGTCCCCCTGGCCATTTTGTTTTGTCCTTGCGCTGTCTGAATGTCTGCCATTCAGATGGACGGTTGAGCAGCCCACGTGGGGCTTGGCTCAGGTGGTAAGAGCACATGTGTTAGAGTGCAGTGTGAAATGGATTCCGCCTCCCTGTGAGACCAGGTGCTCGGCCAGCACCATCACCCGGCAGGACCTTGTGGCAGCAAGGGTTCACTGTGTGTCAGCCGTCGGCCGGCATTACTTCACGTAACCTTCAGAACCACCCTGATTATCCCCACTGTTATAGGTGAGGAAGCTGAGGTTCAGAGAGGTTAAGTAATTTGCCCAAGTTCACCCAGCCAGGGAGTAATAGAGCTCAAATTCAAACCCAGGTCTAGGGGCTTGAAGGCCTGTGCTCTTAATTGCTATGTTCTTCTGCTTGCCTGTGGGCATCAGGTTTTCCACTTGATGTGATAGTTGTTATGATAACAAAAGCACCCTTTTATGGGCACTTATTAGCTCCCTGGGTGGCAAAAATGCTTTGCACTCAACTACTAACCTAAAGGTTGGCAGTTTGAACCCACTCAGTGGTTCTGTGGAAGAAAGACCTGGCAATCTGCTTCCATAAAGATTACAGCCAAGAAAACCCTATGGAGCATTTCTATTCTATCACTCATGGAGTCTCCATAAGTTGGAATCAACTCGATGGCATCGGGTTTGGATTGGTTTTTATTATGGGCTGGGTATTCTGTTACCCGCATTACAAGCACCATCTCCTTGAGTCTTCCCAGTAAGTACCACCTGAAAGGGCCCTTGGAGATGCTTTCTCAGACAGGAGCCTAAGTCTCCTCAGTGAAGATGTCCCTTTGCAGCGGGAGGAGGGCAGGCGGTGAAGAAGTGTCATTTTCCTTCAGGAAGTTCCTCAAACCCCTCCTGAGCACATGCCAGGCCCTGTGCTGGGTGCTGGGAGCAGGCTGACCTGTCCACAGGAGAGAGCCCAAGGTCTTCGAGGCCTGATGCATGGAAGGGATGTTCCCCTCATTCAGCCTTCTTTCTGGGCAGCCTCTTTGGTGATAGCAATGCTGGGATCCCTGGTGGCAGAACTGCGGGCCTTTAAGCCTGGCTCAGGCCTCTCAGCTTTAATTGACAAAAAAGTCTAACTCAAAATGGTGATATCTGTTGGAATAGAGAGTTTGGCTGTTAGTAACAGAGATTGGAATGAATAGCAGCCTAAACAAAAAGAGGTTTATTATTATTTTTTCTCACATAAAGTGTAGATGTTGGCAGGCCAGGGCTGCTGTGGGGTCTTCATGGTGTCTTCAGGAACCCACGTTCCTTTTTTCTTATGCTTCCCCATTCTTAGCATGTAGCTTCCATCCCAGGGTTGCCTCGTGGTCCAAGATGGCTGCTGGAGCTCTTGCCATCTAGGCAGCTTCCCAGGCAGGAAGCAGAGGGAAGGAACACGGAAAGGGCAAAAAGAGCACTTGCCAATTGTCAGTCTGCCCCTTGAGGATCTTTCCCTGGAGTTCTACCTCACAATTTTTGCTTACAAGCTATTGGTCACCCCTCACTGCAAGGAAGTTCATAAAATATCTTTTAGTTGTGTATGTTGCTGCCTGCAATAAAATTGGGGTCATAGTACTCAGGAAGACAGGGAGAATGGATATTGGGCTGGCAATTAACAGGCTCTGCCACACTGACTTAAACATAAAGGGGCATGTTTTGGCTTCCATAAGTGAAAAGTCCAAGGGATGGCTTCTGGCTTCAGGCATGGCTGTATCCAGGTGCTCAAACTTTAGGAATGTCTTTCTTTGTCTTCTGGTTCTGCTTTTCTTCATGGGGCTTCATCGGTAGACCTTGAGGGTCCCCCAGCAGTTCCAGGCTCTCATCCTCTCAGATTTAAGTCCAGTAGGAGAGATTTGTTTTCAGATCAATTCTATTAAAAGTCCCAGAATTGACTGAGCATGGAGGAGAGGTGGTTCTTCAAGGGAAACAGGGATTCCATTACCAGAAAGAGGGGAATGGATGCTGGGGAGGCAGGAAGAGCAGCTGCTTGTGCCAAACACCAGAGAGGCCCTTGCCTCATTGAGGAGCTGCCCAGTAAGGGTGGTCTGAGTCCAGTTCCTGACCTTTAACCCGGATCTCTGATTCCTTTTCCCCAGGGCCTGGATTGGGCTGCTCTGGCCACCAGGAAGATTCCGGCGCCATTCCGGCCCCAGATCCGCTCCGAGCTGGATGTGGGCAACTTTGCAGAGGAATTCACCCGGCTGGAGCCTGTGTACTCGCCCTCTGGCAGCCCCCCACCTGGGGACCCTCGCATCTTCCAGGTGAGTGAGAACTCATGAACCCAGGTGCAGGGGAGGCCCTGGCTGACCTGCGGGACCAGGACTCAGCATCTCCCTCAGGCCTCACCCCGCCTCACTCACTCCAAGTTTAGCTCAGGATCTCACTGCTCAAAAAACCCATTGCCATCGAGTCGATTCCAACTCATAGCGACCCTATTGGACAGAGTAGAACTGCCCCATAGGGTATCCAAGGCTGAAATCTTTACAGAAGCAGACTTCCACATCCTCCTCCTGCGGAGCGGCTGGTGGGTTCAAACCACCAACTTTTGGGTTAGCTGCTGAGCGCTTAACCACTGGGCCACCAGGGCAAATCCTGACCCTGCTTCCTCCGCAACGTCCATGCAGCAGTCCTTCTCCCAGCCCTGGCCCTGCCGTGTTGAGTCCTCATGGCCCTTTTTCTCCACATCTCTGCTCTCTAGCTGAGTGACCTCCTAACACTCAAGCCAGTGGTTCCGCTCTTCTAGGGCTCTGCCTCCCAAGCTCCCCCATTGAGACTTCCCAAAGACAGCACAGAGCTGCACTGGCATGGTGCCTGGAGTTGTCATCCATAGAGACTGCTACGGCAGGACACGGCTTTGAACTCATGCTTATCTTTAAACTTTGTGTAAATTTCCTTTCTACTTATTACATCTCTCTGTTGTTATGTAAAAATGTTGGTTTCAATCATCTACCTGCTTACGTGGTCACCTAGGAAGAGATGCCATGTTTATACTGTGGCTTTGCATTCCCCTTGGCATACCACCTCACGTTTCCTCCACCCGGTTGTAGAAGCCCAGGCCTGTGGACACGTCCTTTGCTCAGCATTCGAGGCCCTGCATGATATGGTCCTTGCCTGAGCCCTAGCCTCAGTATTCAGTAGCTTCCCACTTGATGCTTTAGCAGCACGGAACTGTTCAGAGGTTCCAGAGCACACCTCAGTGCCTTTGCACATGCTGTTCCCTCCACCTGGAGTGCCCTCCCCACAGTTGTCCACCCAGCAAGTTCCCACTCATCTTTCAGGTCTGGTGTCCAGTGCTGCTGCCTATGGGAAGCCTTCCTGGCCCACTGGGTCGCCCCTTCTCTCGTGCCCCAGCCCTTTGCAGATGACATCTCCTTCCGAGCATTTATCATGTTGAACCTTGACAGCCTGACTGAGACACCTCCCCCTGGTCCGGAAGCTCCTGGAGGGCGGGGACTGTGTGTTTAATGTCTCTGTCCCCACGTCCAGCGTAGGGCCTGGCTTGTGGGAAATGCTCCATGAATATTAAACAAGAATAGACCAATATCCAGCATGGACGCATCTGTCCCCTCCATGAAGCTCTCACAGGTGACAGTTCTCTGTTTGAGTGCCCCTCATTTCATCGTCACAGTTGTAATGTTCTTTCTTGTGAACCAGTGGTTACTTTTATTCGTTCACTTAATGATTCAAAATGGTGTATTGAGCCCCTGCAGTATGCCAGGCCCTGATCTGGTCAGTGGGGACGTATCAATGAACCTAACAAACAGAATGCCACCTGTGTGGAACTCGCATCCTTGTGCACAGTGGGGCTGCATTTTTTAGGAGAAAACAACACGTAGTTAAAATTGCCTTTGAAAATCTCTGAAGTTGCCGGGACACGGGTCCTTAAGAAGGGCAAAGAATTAACTTTGGGTTCTCTTTGCATTTCCTCAGTGGCCCTCCTTGCAGAGGAGGCCAGAGTCTGCTTTGAAGGGAGGCATAGAGTTTTTTCTTCTCAGTGGGCAGAGTTGGATTCTCATAAGCTAAGTGTGTGTGATGCCTGGCCAAAGCACTTGCATGCATCCAGCCCATCATTTTCTGAGCTCCTATGCTGTGCCAGGTGCTGCTCTTGGCACTTGTGGGGCACTGTGATGAGAAAGGCGGGAGGACGGTCTGGTGGAGAACAGACATGGACCCAAGTTCTTACAAAACAAGGTGGAATAAAGTGTGTCCACACCTCTTGTGTGACCAGGACGCCCCACCTGTAGCCCAGCCCCCAGCTGCCCATCCACCCTGTCTCCTTCCCTCTCCCGGCAGGGATACTCCTTCATAGCGCCGTCCATCCTGTTTGACCACAACAATGCCGTGATGACCGATGTGCTGGAAGCTCCTGGCGCTGGAGACCGGCCAGGCCGGGCAGCTGTAGCCAGGAGCGCCATGATGCAGGTGGGCTGGACCGGGTTGGGGGGAAGCTGTGTTGGGGGCCTGAGCCCCCGGGCATTCCGGGCCTGGCTCTACCAGGCGCCTGCGGTGTGACCTCAGTGAGGTCCTGGGCCTCTCAGTGGTGGGCCTCCTAACGCGCCCCCTTTGCCTCCAGGACTCGCCCTTCTTCCAGCAGTACGAGCTGGACCTGCGGGAGCCTGCGCTGGGCCAGGGCAGCTTCTCCGTGTGTCGCCGCTGCCGCCAGCGCCAGAGCGGCCAGGAGTTCGCGGTCAAGATCCTTAGCCGAAGGTGGGCGGGCCCGAGGCGGCGGGGCTCCGCAGAAGGGTGTCCGGGAGGGTGGGGCCGGGCGGGGGTGGGGGTGGTTGGGGGTGGTTATCGGTGGCCCTGACACCGTCTGCCCCGACCCCTAGGCTGGAGGCAAACACGCAGCGCGAAGTGACCGCCCTGCGGCTGTGCCAGTCGCACCCCAATGTGGTGAAGCTGCACGAGGTGCATCAGGACCAGGTAACACCTTATAGGCCTGGGGCGAGCGCTAGGACGAAAGAAGGGGCCCATGGGTGGGGCGGGAGAGGCGGGCAGGAGGCGGGGCTGAGGATCAGACGCGCGGGGTCCCAGGGGCCCAGGGAGGCGGCAGCGGTAGGATTTGAGGGGAGGAGGGCCTGAAGATCGGAAGGCCAGGCTGAGGATGGCCAAGAGAACGGAATTTGAGGAGGGCGTAGGGTAGGATTTGATAGGGGCGGGGCTTGAAGGCGGCCAAAGGAGCGGGGCCTCCAAAGCATTGAGGATGGGGGCGGGGCCTAAGGGTGGTCATTGGGGTGGTCTTGAGGGCGGGGCTGGAACGTGGGTGAAACCTGGGGCTAGGGACTTGGGGCTTGAGGTAGGGAGGGCGGTCACTGTGTGGCTTGAGAGGGCGGGGCCTGAGGGCGGGGCTAGATGGTGGCTAAGGGGCGCGGTCTGGCTGGTGGGTGGAGCCTGGCCTGGGTCTGTGTGTCCTGACCGCGGTCTGTTGCACCTCCCGCAGCTGCACACGTACCTGGTCCTGGAGCTGCTGCGGGGCGGGGAACTGCTGGAGCACATCCGTAAGAAGCGGCACTTCAGCGAGTCGGAGGCAAGCCAGATCCTGCGTAGCCTCGTGTCGGCCGTGAGCTTCATGCACGAGGAGGCGGGCGTGGTGCACCGTGACCTCAAGCCCGAGGTGGGTGCGGGCCTTGGTGGCGGGGTGGGGCTACGTCCAAGGACCTGCCTCTGACTTTGCCCGCCACCCGCACAGAACATCCTGTATGCCAACGAGACGCTGGAGGCCCCGGTGAAGATCATCGATTTCGGCTTCGCACGGCTGCGGCCACAGAGCCCCGCGGGGCCCATGCAAACGCCTTGCTTCACGCTGCAGTATGCGGCCCCCGAGCTGCTGGCCCAGCAGGGCTACGATGAGTCCTGCGACCTCTGGAGCCTCGGTGTAATTCTGGTATGGGGCAGGGTCCCTGAAGTCGGTGCAGGGTTGCCCGAGGCTGGGTCAAGGGTCTTCCTGATGCTGGGGCCAGGCATCCGGGTGCAGGGGAGCCCGAGGTAGGGGGCAGGGGACATCTTGGTGGGAGTGGCAGGGCATGATCATGAGGGAGGCGTCGGCCTAATTCAAAGGTAGGGCCTCTTTGGTGCTGGGATCAGGGGCACCTGTGTGTTGGCGGTGAGAGGCTAGGGATAATGGCACATGGGCCTCAGGAATTACTCTAGTGGAGAGGGTGGGCTGAGGGGTTGGCCTCCTGGCCTCCTTCGTCCCCGCAGCCTGGCAGTCTCACATTTCCCCACATCCCCTCTAGTATATGATGCTGTCGGGGCAGGTCCCCTTCCAGGGGGCCTCCGGCCAGGGCGGGCAGAGCCAGGCCGCCGAGATCATGTGCAAGATCCGCGAGGGCCGCTTCTCCCTGGACGGGGAGGCCTGGCAGGGCGTGTCCGAGGAAGCCAAGGAGCTGGTCCGAGGTGCGGAGCCCGCAGGGCGTTGGCCACAGTTGGGAAGGGAGAGGCCATGGGGTCATGGCTGGGTCAGGGATCTTGCAGGGTCACGTTCGTTGCAGGGTCACGTGTCCTGGTTTTCTGGTTGGGGAAAGGGAAGGGGAGGATGTATGGGATTGTTGGGGCCTCTCTGGCTCGTCCCCTCCACACAGGCCCCTTCCCAACCTCCCGGGCTCGCCTCCAGGGCTCCTGACCGTGGACCCAGCCAAGCGGCTGAAGCTCGAGGGGCTGCGGGCCAGCTCGTGGCTGCAGGATGGTAGCGCGCGCTCCTCGCCCCCACTGCGGACGCCGGACGTGCTGGAGTCCTCTGGGCCGGCTGTGCGCTCGGGACTTAACGCCACCTTCATGGTGAGGGGCGGGGCCTCTGGGGTGCGGGGGGTGGGGGTGGAGCTAGGGAGGCGCGGTCCTCCGAGCCCAGAAGGGGGAGTGGCTTCTGGCGGGTTGGGGCCCTGACCTATCGGGAAGCTGGAAACCAAGCACCTGTTGGCCTTGACCTGGTGGGATAAGGGGTGTTCCAGGATCTGAGCTGAGAGCTAGGATCTGGGAGCCGGGCAGGCCTGGGAACTCACCCCTTCTCCTCCGCCAGGCATTCAACCGCGGCAAGCGCGAGGGCTTCTTTCTGAAGAGTGTGGAGAACGCGCCCCTGGCCAAGCGGCGCAAGCAGAAGCTGCGGAGCGCAGCCGCCACCCACCGCGGCTCCCCTGCGCCCGCTGCCCCGGGACGGGTCCCCGCCGCCAAGGGGCCGTCCCGCCGCGCCAACGGCCCCCTGCCCCCTTCCTAGTCCTCACCACTGTGACCGCCTTCCCCCATAGGGACTGTGACCTGGGAGCCTGACTCACTGCCCCCAGATCTAGGCCAGAGGCTCCGCCCTGACCCCCAAGGGTTGCCCTTCTCTCCCTTCTCCCCTTACTCCCAGACAGAGCAGAAGTATTTTTATAAGCAGAGAATTTTTTATGTCTTACCTGGTAGATAGAGATGCAGGGAGGGAGGGGTCCTGACGGGGAGTAGGGCGTGGGGAGCCATCTCCCAAGACCCTGCTTCATCTGGGTCTGCCCGTGGGGGGTGCTGCTTCAGCAGGGAAGGGTGCCTCCCCCATTTCTAAGCACTGAGCTGCCACAGGGAGAAGCTGGGACCCCTCTCCTGAGACCCTGCTCCTGGGGGGCTCCCCTCAAGCTGTCACTTTATGGGCTGTCTGTGCAATTCTGTCCACCAAAGACCTGTGTTGGGGGGTTGAGGGAGAGGCCCTGGGGCACCCCCTGAAGCATTTCTGCTTCACTTCAGGTCACCTGCTTCTCCCCTAAAAGGGGGGCCCCCATCTCACCCGCCCCTCCCCTTTGGTACAGCTGCCCCTGGCTGGGGGGTGGGGCCGTGGGGGTCTGAGCTGGGCATTCATGGGCACTGCCTCAGCCCATCCAGGCTGTGCCTTTGACTTTGAAATAAAAGTCCACCCAGTGCTGTGCTGCGTCTGTGTGTGTGTGTACCTGCGTGAGTATGTTTGGAGCCTCAGAGGGAAGGGACAGGGCAGACCACTGCTAGGATGAGAAGGCACACTTTGTCCTTCGGCAAACTCTCGGATGTGTGTCTGGACAGCTGTGCCATCGATCACTTAGGATTCACTTGTAATAGCCCAGCCCAAGCTTGCTTAAGCAGAACGAGAGTCACAGGCTCATGAGCTACACAGTCTAGGGGCAGCTTCAGGCAAGGCCTGAGCCATGCTCGTGGTCAGGCCTCAGTTTCCCCATCCTCAGCCTGTTGTTACTTCCTTGGTGTTGCTCTAGTCCGGAGTGCTCTTTTGGCCCCAGGATGGATACTAGCTGCTGCAGAAGCTACAGATTGAAATCTGGTGCTATATGGGAGTGTTTGTTTTAGCATTCCCAACAGAAATCCTGAGATGTACTCAGATTGGGTCCACTTAGGTCATGTGCTCACCCTGAACCAATCATCGTGGCCAGAGGATGCAATGTGCTGACTGGCTTAGACTTGGATCATGAACTCCCCTTTTGGAAGCTCATTGGGTGGGAAGTAGAGGAAGCATTCTCAGGGAGGTCAGCTGGGCAGGGCTGTGGTCCATGAGCCTGTCTAGTGGGGGTGGGGGTGGGGGCGCGGGTGCAGCCCATACGCTTTTCGTGTCCTTACGCTCTCAGAACACTCAGAAGTACACTGCAACCTAGTAGTCTGATTCCAGACTTTGCTCAACCACAAAGAGTTCCATCGTAAGAATGAGCCGTAAGTTTACTCCATTGCTGGATGTTTGGATTGTTTAATAACTTTGTTTCTATCATAAATGATGCTGAAACAAACTTTACATAAACTTGTGCATGTAATAAATCGTTTTATCGAGATATAACTCACCTACCCTGCAATTCCCCCATTTAAAGAGTACAAGTCAATGAGTTTTTGTCTATTCACAGTTGTGTAACCAGCACCACAGTCTAATTCCAGAACATTTCCATAACCCCAAAAGAAACCCCATGCCCGTTTGGCAGTCACTTCTCATTTCTTCCCACGCCCCCATCCCTAAACTAGTTGCTGACTCATGGCAACCCCATGTATGTCAGAGTAGAACTGTGCTTCACAGGACTTTTGGTGGCTGATGTTTCAGAAGTTGATTACCAGGCCTTTCTTTCAAGGTGCCTCTGGGTGGACTCAAACCTGCAACCTTTTGGTTAGCAGCTGAGTGCTTTGACCATTTGCACTTCCGAGGGACTCCCTCAAGCCCTAGACAACCTCTATTCTAACTTTTGTTTGTATGGATTTGCCTACATACTTTGATATATGCTTTTAAAGGACACTCCCATAAATATTATACTGACGTATACTATACTCCTAGCAGGCAGCAGGATATGAAAATGTCCATTTTATTATATGCTCGTAAGCATTGTGTATTATTTTAAAACCTTTGCTAATCTGATGGATAAAAATGGCTTCTCATCTTCAATTTCCTCATCCCTCGTCTCATGGAACTCACAACCACTCTATGAGAGAGGTGTCCTTAGTCTCATTTCACAGATGAAGGAACTGGGCTCAGAGGGTGGAAATAACCCTGAGGAAGGAGTTTGCTGGGGTGGGAAGAGCAGGGAGGGGCTTAGAGGAATGAGCCAGCCTACCTTTGCCCTCTGCAGTCAGGAAGCCTGCAGGTAGGAGGCAGAGGTGACCCCAGGCTGAGTCCTAGGCAGGATGTGAATCAGCAGGGTGGAGAGTGGAGACGGGGAAAGGGCAGGGAGGTCAGGGGCTAGAGGCGAGTGATCAGCCTGAGTCTGGCAGCCTGCTTCCATGCGTTGACTTTGCCCTCTGGCCAGCCCAGCCTTACAGAGTATCTCTTTCAGGGGGCTGGGTGGGCCCACCCTCCTACACTGGGCCTGTAGTTCTTGTCTTGAAAGGGTCTCGGAGGTGAGGCTTAGGCTCCCTGCTCCATTAAAATGTTGACGCTTCTGAGAGGGTCCGGTAGCCCTGTAAGCCTCCAGCTTCCTCTGAGTCCTGGTTAGCTAACTGCTGTTAGTACTGAAGTTGGGGTGCCGGGTTTAGTCTGCCCTGTGGTACCCACTGTGTGACTGGGCGAGTCGCCTTAAGGTTCCCTGGGGCTCTAAACAAGAATATTCCATGGTAATGTAGGGATTGCAAACTGGCAGCCCATACCTGGCCTGTACAGACTTCTTTTGGGAGGCCCAGGACATGTTTTAAAATAAGAAAGTGCATATGAAAGTCTGGATGTTTGACTTTTACTGGGAAACTGGAGGGGCTGGCAGCCCGGGGGTAGCCTTCCTGCCTGGTGTAATCAGCCGGAGCGGAATCATGCTGCCTCCACACACAGGACGCTGCTTTCCCAGTTTGCCACAGACCCCACTACTCCCTATTGTCACACCTGGCTGGGTCTCTCATTTACCTTTTCGGCCCTCTAGGTATTTGAGTTCATGACTCTTACATAAGGTCTTTCCACATTTACTGCTTCACATACATGGGGTTTGTGAAATGTCAAAGCTTTTTTTTTCCAAATTTTTAATTTATATTTGTGAAATGCTAATAAATTCACATGATTCAAAATTCAAAGGCTACAAAAGAGTATATAGTGAAATATCTCCTTCTGTATGCCCTGCCCCTCAGCCGTCAACCTCCCCTTCCCAAGGGAGTCAGCGTCATCATTTCTTGTGCAGTATTCAGATATATGTTAGGAGCCCTGGTGGCATAGCAGTTAAAGCGCTCAACTGGTAACTGAAAGATTGGCGGTTCAAACCCACCAGCCACTCTGTGGAAGAAAGATGTGGCAGTCTGCTTCCGTAAAGATTTACAGCCTTGGAAACCCTGTGGGGCAGTTCTACCCTGTCCTGTAGGGACACTATGAGTCAGAATCGACTCAATGGCAATGGGTCGGGTTTTCTTCAGGTACGTTTTATGCATAATCAGACAGATACACACATATGTAAATATAATTGGAAAAATTCACATTAATTGAATGTTAATTTTAGAAAACAACCAGAAAATATAAACTAAGGGGAAAAAAATTAAATCCCTCTGCAGATAACCGCAGTTAACGTTTTGAAGTATTCACTTCCAGGTATTTCTGTATTAATATAGATTTTTAATTGAAATGGCATAGAAATATAAATAGGTTATTATAGCCTGCTTTAAACTCGGAAATATATCGTGAATGTCCTTCTATTGTCGATGATTATATTTTGAAATTTTTTTTTATAGCAGCATAATATTCCATTATATAGGTACACTAGGACTTACGTAGTCTGTCCCCGTTTTTGGATACTTGGGCTGTTTTCAGTTCCTTGCTGTTTTAAACAGTGCTGGAGTGAACATCGTTGAACTTACATCTTTGCTCACCTGTCCAAATATTTCCTTAGGCTACATTTCCTAGAAGTGGAATTAATGGGCTAATGGATATGTCCATGCATGAACATTTTAAAGGCTTTTGGTATAGATGATCAAACTGCCCTTCAGAAAGATCCTATCAGATTATCTGCCTTGCAGCAGCATGGGCCAGATCCAAGATGCTATCTCCTTTAAAATGAAATGACTTGTCTTGCCCGCTGAGTGTGTCCTTGCCCGCCCACCTGCCTGTCCGCTTTCGTTTTTCTTGGCAGAGCTCCTGGAGGTCGTGCATGCTGACCTGGAGCTTGCAATGGTGGTGGTGGAGGCACTGTGGACCCTGCGTGGAGGATGATGGGAAACTCCTCCCTCTCCCCTGTGACCTGGATCTGGCCCCTTCCCTTGGTGTCAGGCTGGGCGTGGCGTCTGTGTGGAGGAAGCGAAGCAGTGGACCCCCGGGGACTGACCCGGAGTCTGCAGGGAGTGGGTGGACCTTGGGGATCTGACCCGGAGGCAGCAGGGAGTGGGTGTGTCGTGAGGGGGGGAGAGGCTGGGAGGGGGAGTCCGTGGTGGTGCAAAATGCTAAGTGACTACTAGCCAAAGGTTGGCGGTATGAACCCACCTAGAGGTGCCTCGGAAGACAGGCCTGGCAATCTGCTTCCAAAAGGTCACAGCCTTGAAAACCCTGTGGAGAAGTTCTACTCTGCACACATGGGGTCGCCATGAGTCAGAGTTGACTTGACGGCAACCAGCAACAACAATAACACCACATGCAGCGCACACAGGCCAATCATCACTGTGGTAGAAGTGATGATGTGTATGAAAGGCGGGCCCAGGCCACTGGACCTCGGAGCTTTGCATAACCTGTGAGCCAAGCAGCAGAGTGGGGTCCAACCCTGGCTCTGTCCCTCCCAGTATGCGAGCGTGACCAAAGCCACTTGGGCCTGAGTCTCCATTGCCTCTCGAGTGAAGTGGGGAGGGAACAACCCC